AAAGATGAACTTGCCCTTAAAAATACAGAAATAGCGGCTAAGAAAAATGATCGATGAAAAGCCCATAAAAGCAGAAAATAGAAACCCCTGTCTCATTATGTCCCAAAGCATGACAACTATGTATGTGCGTGATAAATGCAGCAAACCACATTTCAAAATGCGGTGCGCCTGTAGCCAAAATCGGCTCAGCTTGTTAGTTATCATGAGGCTCCAGAACATAAGTGGGTTCCTGGGCAGAGCCTGGTGCAAACCAGACTGGGGCGGGTAAGCAGTGCGGGAGGGGGCAGTTTGCCTTTGTGCTGTTGTTTCCCCCTTCCACTGCTTTTGGCTTGCATGGGAGCAGAGCATCAGTAGGCTCTATTGGAGCTATTTTATAGTATTTTTTTTTAAAAACTATTTTATACATTGCATATAATAAATACAGCGAGATACACTAAGGGTAAAAATCTTGCTTTACACGTACAAGGACTTTAATAACTCCAGCTAGACTATTTCTTCAGGCTAGAGGCTCCAAAGAAAGCTCTGCCGCTTAATCTTAGATTACATCAGTTAAATGTCCGATCCCAAATCCATCTTCAGGCGCCAGGAAAACAATAACAATGATCATAATTTATGCTGCTAGAGCAAATCATGAAATCTCATTATACATTGTTACAGCACTTTACTTAAGATTGCCCTAAACCCGTGCTCTCTAAGCGTATATCGATAAATAGACATGTTTGGCAGCCTCTTCTCCGGCTGTAATTGTGAGACAATGATTCATCGTTCATGATCAAACCAATGTAAGATTTATAGTCTTAATTACTTATGTGAGTGCTAAATTTCTACAGACAATCATGCCAAAAATCCAAATTTTGGAAACCCCTGTTGCATTCTAAGTAATTACCATCAAAGGTTTTCATTTTAAAAACACCAGATGGTGAACTTTATTATTTATGCCAGATAATGCTGTTAGTTTTCTTATTATTTAAAAGTAATTTACTTTCATAATGCCACTTTGAAGACTATAATAACACTTCTGCAAATCTTTGGCCTACAGCATTATTTCAGAATCAATGTACATACTGTGTTGTCATCAGCAACACACATAGTTAACAAATGGTAGGTAATCCTTAGCGAATACTGGCCTTTTTTCATTTCTCCATCCATCACTTCTAATTTAGGGAATAAACTACTCACACGTGGATTAAAAGAGATTGTTAGGTCCCAAACAGTAATCATATCTAGCTTCAGCAGAGCCAAGTCCCAATCTTTTTAATCAGAGATGAAACAGCTGGTAATGTACATGAGTAAATGTTCTGCCGAGATCCAGGAGTATTTCCCTGACTGCCTCCTCACTGTATATTACTACACATTAAAAAGATTGGGAAATACAGTGGTATCCATTTTTATGGCTGCTTTTGTTATTTTTCCTTTGCCAGAAAAAAAAATGAGAGCTGAAAAGCACTCTAAAAATTAGCTATCTGAGACTTTATAACGGAGAAAGAAAGTCGATCAGATCTTTCTCTTAGGTCACTTACTGTCATCTGGGTGAGGTCAGGCATAAATGAGCATCCCAGGGGGGTCAGGGGTTAAAAAGAGAAAGTTCAGCTTTGTTTTCTTAAACCAGTATCAGTACAAATAGTAAATTAAAATCAACGATGTTTTTCAACAACACTTTTTTCTACTGAAATAGTGAATAGCATTTCACTCTCAGGGTAGAAATAATGCCAGTTGTGCTTATCAGCTAGCGAGGAGGGATCAAATTCAGTAGAAAGAAATGCAAATGGGAAGCAAGGAGGAAAACATACCACAAGACTGATCTCCTTGTTAAAAGAAGCTGCCATCTCTGGCTTTCTAATTTTACTGAAATCCTGAAACTAGTCACTTACAGATTTCATTTTATTCTAACTTCAGTTATAATGAGCAGTGTTAAGTACATCTCGCTTTGCCAACTGACATTTTAAAATATCTGGCTGGCAATGGTGGTTATTATTAATGGTGGGTTCAGTAGGTTCGGTATCCATCTTCAGTTTCAGACAATAGATACAGGTTATTGAACTCAATGTAGTATGCTTGATGTAATAGCAATTATCATGCTTGATATTCTTGATGGACTGCAAATTGACTAACGCAGGAATAAAAAAGCCCTCTTGAAAGTGTGCAACCTTGGTAATGCAATTTTCCTTTTCACTTTTGCTTAATAATTGTGCAAGCCCACATTACAGAGCTGCTGATCATTACTGACCTAAACAAGTTTCAGTGACCTCTGAAAGACTGAAGGGTAAACCTTTCTGGCACTGGTTGCAATCATTTTAGTTCCTGAGTTCTTCTGCCCAAATCCCAACCTCCAAGTACCTGGTGGGTGCAAGGGAAGCTCCAGGAGCAAGAGGGAAGCAGTGGTTCCTCGTGTTCCTGCAGTCCTGAGGCCCTGCAATGTGCCAGGAGTTCCCCTTCACTCTCCTCCCAAAGCAACATCTCCTCATCAGGCGTGCAGCTCATCTCCAGCTGAGGCTCATTTTTAGCTGGGGAAGCTCTGTGCCTCCACGCCTAAGAAGCCCCAGGCGCATGGTGAGAACAGCGAGTGCTTCACAGGCAAAATTCAGCAGCCGATGAGCTCAGGGCCTTACGCCACGGCACAAATTTCCAGAGCTGTGGTTCGCCATTCATGCACACCCGTAGATCATGCTCCATAACCCCATTTGCTTTGCACTGCATGCAGTGCTTAAAAGTAGTAGTTACGGTCTTAATGCATTCCCAAACAGACAAGGCAAATATGACCTTCCTGAGCAGGAACACTTCAATTGCAAGGAATTTTCCAGAGGGACAGGAATGTTAGCTTCGGTAGTCATGAAATTGTTCTTATTTCAGCGACGTTATTTTTCCTCTCATGAAAAGTATAGCCATATAGTTTATGAAGAGAGGCTTCAGTGGCACTTTGTTACTACAGAGAATAATTTACACGTTTTTTTTAAATGTTAAATTTACGTTTTCCCTAAGTGAGTTTGCACAAATGACTAACCAAGAATGTCTCTCTTGGCCAACTTCATCTCTGTTCCCTTTTGGCACAGTTCAGATAAAATAACTGAGGTTGGGCAAGAGATAGGCCTTGCGAATTTTGGGCTTAATGAACATGAGAAGTACAAACCAGACAATTTTGGCAGATGTCATTGTAACACTTGAAAATGTTTGTTTTTTCTCATATCAAGGCTGTGCAGAGGGTAGAAGTGTTTTGGTGAATTTGTCTCGCGCTAGAATTACACTTTCTATTTATATAATCAACGTTAGGTCAGTTGTTTATAGCAGAATTAATGGCTTTGTTTATACAGTGTTCTGCTTTTATACATCTAATTCTTCTTTCCTTCCATTTTCAGGTTAGGGTCTTGTTTTGTTTTTCTGTATAATACAGAACTGAAACAAAATGTGTTGAGCATGTGTGTGTTATTCCAGACTTTATTAGAACTCACTACTTGTATGAAATATAACAATATGTGGATGCACTCATATAAACCATGGTCAGAGGGTTTTTTTGTGTGTGTGTGTGTGCGGTTTTTTTCTTTTTTTTTCTTTTTTTTTTCTTTTCTTTTTTTTTTTTTTTCTCATCATCATAACTTTCCTTTCTGCCAAGATGTTTTTGGCAGTTTTTAAAAGGTTCACCATTAAAAATGTTATGGACCAAATGGTTTTTAGAAACTTTATTGAGGGCACTACTTAAACAAAGGAAGAATTGGCGCTGAACTCATTTCAGCAGAACTTTGCACTGTAAAGTGTTGATATCTGGAAGGGAATAAGCAAAGACAACAAAACAATAGGAATCACACTGACTATAGTTTTTAAAATTCATTAGAAAATCCCTTGTAAAAGAAATATTTTTGCTTCTGTTCTTGTCACCTCAAATCTATAGAAAGATGTATCAGAGATAGAACTTCTCTCCCTCCCCCTCCCCATTTTTTTCCTTTTTTTCTCTTTTATTTTTCTTCTTTTTTTTTTTTTTTTTAACGTATTTTTACTATGTATGTGGGACATTATGTGGGACTTCCAACCTATATCATTATACAAGCATGTACTTAGTGTGCTTCTGCATTAAGCTCAAAGATACAGTGCAACACAGTGGAAAATTACTGGCTTTTTAGTTGTTGATGAGACTGACTGCTCCTGAAGAACTGCAAATGTTTATCTGGATATTTCTGCTAACATTCTGGATATATTTATCTTTCCTGTAAAACTACACACCCATCTAAACTTGCTTATGAATTGTTCATATGCTAATATTTAATAGGAAGAGTAGTATTTTTAAAAGAGTGTAATGAGTTTGATGGCTATGTTTTTTCCCCTTCCAGAGCAAGAATTTACTCTTTGAGAAGATGAATGGTGGTCCAAAAAGAAGAAAGAGGGTAACTATCAGAATAATTTATAGTCCCTCTATCATCTACAGAGCTAATAAGAACTAAAATCATACTGCTGAAAAAGAAAGTTAGCCTAATGCATCCATGTTATACCTTAGGTAATGCCTGAAGTCAGGGAGTGTCTGTGATAAGCTACTACAGCAGGCTCCGTGACTGTCACTGAGTACAAGATGTAATTCACTAAAGCCTGTTGCATTCTGAAGATGCACTTCAATGCAGAGCATTTGTTGACAAACTTTGTATTATCTGTGGTGATCCTGATTCCATGAAACCATCTGAAATTATTCAGATTTCTTTAAAACAAAATAAAAATTTTCCTATTAAATGTATCAGTAAAACTAATTACCACTACCCATACGTGTCAGTATGCGTTTGGGTGTAAACGACAGCAGAATTGGTCCTTAAGCCTATGAAATTCAACTAACTTGCACACTGCAAAGCAGCTCAGAATTAAACTCCTAGCTCTGTGTCCCACTTGCTGGGCAGACAAGGATGAATGGGTTGTTACCTTGCTGGCCCTTACACTGAGGAGATACACATACCACAGAGAATTTTTGCACAGTTCGTGTCACTATATTCTCTTGTTTTTCAGTAGCATCAGCTTGTCATTTATCACTTTCAGACAGAGTAGCAGTCTTTAGCTTTGCTGCTGGTATATTTTTTTACAAGAAGAAAACGAGGCTTTACATTAAGAAGCCTAGCTCTCTGCCAAAAAAAAAAAAAAAAAAAAAAAAAAAAAAAAAAGTAGCTTTGTAAAATATGACAGCACAATTTATACTGTAAATGAAGTAAACTTGAGTTGAAATAACTGAAGCATAAGTGAAGGTGATTTATTTATTTATTTATTTGTCTGTTTAACTCTCAAACCTAAAGTTCTTTCCAGAAAGGGAAAAGTCAGCTGATTTCTTACTGATTCACACATAACTGGTAATAAACCCTGGTCGATTATAGGTAATGACTTATATTCAGCTTAGTGTCTGCCTTCCATTTCCATTTGATTTTCAAGTTACATAAAAGAAAATGAAAAAGTGTGGACATACTATATTTGGTCTCAAGTAAGTAAATTTTACTCTGGAAAGATAAATACAGAACACCATTAGAACACTCATTAGAATACTACGTTAAAGTATGATTAGTGAGATAGATACATAAGAAGAAATAGTACATATACACATTTTCTGTTCATGTGCTGAGTGATGTAATCAAATATAAGGCAACTAATGGCTGTAGAGACATGACAGACCCTGTGGGCAGGAATAGCCCAGAATTTAGGAGGTGAAAGTGTCAGTTTCTTTCTTTGCAGCAGATTTTTTTTTTCTTCTTAGCATGGGTGTATCATTTAGGTGTGAATTTAACATCACTTAAATTATCTTACTGTTTTGAGAGTAATACTGTAGTGGTTGCTAATGCTGTAATAAACTATTTGGAATTGTCACTGTATCAACAACAGGATAAGCTAGAGATGACAGCAGTGGAATGGTGTCTTTTTTCCAGATACCAAAAAGCCCATCTGACACCCTCTTACCTGCTGTGCTCCCTGTCACTCCTCTGTGCCCTTCTACACCAAAGGAATTTACTGAGGACAGTTGCTGGCAACAAATTGCTCTTTTGGGGCAGGACATCCCAGTGTTAGATTAGAGCACATCTCCAAAAGTCCCATGTCTGGGGATTTTTGGGCTGTCCATGGAAAGGAAGGGCACTGTACAATGCTATAGCATAACCATCAAAAGGGGTCTATGGGATTATACAAAACCTAAGTATTTGTGCATAAACGTATGTTTATATAGATGTATATAAATATACATCTGCACACACAGGCATATATATACATACGCAGCACTTATAGCAAAGATATGTATTTACTATTTGCCACTGTGTTAAACTTTGCAGCATTTGCAGTGGAAGACACGGAGGTGTATGGGGACCTCTAATTTAACTAGTGATTCTCACTTTGTTGAATTTCTATGTATGAGCACTGTCCATAATCTAATACCCTGAATATGACAGGAGTTCTGTAACAGAGTCACACTGTACACAGCTCTGAGCCTACAGCAAAGGTATTCCTGAACCACATTGCTTTGAATTCTACACAGCTGTATGGGATTAAAAAAATTTTAGTCATATCAGCCAGAATTTTTGCATTATATTTTGTGTTTTCTTTTGTTTGTTGAGGATACTTTTTTTTTTTAATGTATTATCATTCTCTTCTACTTTATTTCAAAAAGTAGCAAGCAAGTACCATTCCAAAAAAAAGACTAATTAATCTTCCTAAGAATCTTCAAATAATTCCTAGAAGTTTATGCAACAGCTGAATTTCACTAAATTAACATTAAACAGAACTTCTTTTAACAAACACAAACAAATCATTTACATGTGTCTTATTTTTAACAATTTAGAGCATTAAATTAGTGTTAGTTTTATTTTCAAAGATTTTTCCACACTCATTTCTGGTTCTTAATACTCTTATGTTTTCACTTGTAGCAGGCAAAGCATTCAGAAACAATACAAAACAAAAGGGCTGCTCTGCGCTGTGATCAAGTATTAATGATAGCTTCCACAAATATGGACAAACTTATGGACTTAAATGCAAATAAAAACAAATCCAAATATTTTCCAGAGATTTGACAAATACTTGCGATATTTGAAAAGAAATATTTCATGTATATTTTAAGGTTTTTTTCTTTGTTTGTTTTTGCCTAGCTTTGAACTCCTAGGTTTTAGTGAAAGAGACTTCTCAAGAAAAGTACCTCTCTCTATATCTCTACGATAGAGAAGTCTGATGAGAATCAGGAGATACTAGAAAATTTGAATTCCTCTGAAGTTTATCCTTAGAGAGGCAAATAATTTTTATTGTCATCAAAAACCAGCACACTATATTTTTTGTCTATATTCATGAAGAAGAGAACATGCATTTGCATTTTGCATACATGGACACAGTGGGTGTAAATAATACTCTTTTAATTTTAAAACTCCACAAAGCTGATTGATACTTGCAGATACAATTAACACATTTTAATAATTGGTACAGATAAAATTCAAGCAGAGGCTTTCTACATTACCATAATGTCCAAACAGTTTTGAGACAGGATCTGTTCATCTTCAGTCTCACGTTGTGCTGCTTACATGGCGCAAAGAGAAGTTAAAGCCTCGCCAGGGATCTTCTTTCCAGCATTCCCTTGTTCTGGCAGTGGTACGAGGGCCATTTCCTATGCCAAAATTTTGCTTGGCTCTGCTTCTGTGCCAGCAGTTTTTTATCTCAGCATCAAGAAAGGGAGCAAAGATGGGTTTTCCGGTGAGATGGGCTGAAGAGAAGACTTAGGTTAAAAATGGTGTCGTAGTATCTAGCTTGTCTCCCAGCTTAAGGTCCATCAGGGAGCAGTGATTTAAGCTAAAGCTTACCTGTACAGTCACAGTGAGTTCTGTCCTGCCTCGAGAGTGAGGGGATTAGATCTGCTGCTTCTCTGTTGAACTGGGAAAGGAGGAGTGGAGCAAAAAGACAGTGTTTAACCCAGCCTGTCCTGTACACTGGGTAGTCCTCCTCCACTTGTTCACATTGTGGGGTAGGTAGCAGTTTTTTGTTTTTAGTGGATTGGGTTAAATTCTCACACACAAAAAATGTATTAGAAAGCAGAGCACTGATTGACTTTTAGATTTTACTCCCTGGGAGCAGTTTTTTTTTCTTTGTCTGTTAACATTTGACAGATATGAAATATATGCATATGTCCACTTTTCCTAGTTACCTTTTCTGTATTTTCGTGTTTCTAATAAATATTAATAATTTTACATTTTTTTTCAGAGTGTGAACCCATATCTGCAAGGACAGCGACTGGACAATGTTGTAGCGAAGAAGTCTGTTCCACATTTTTCTGATGAAGACAAGGGTCCTGAATAAGTACAATAAAAATGAATGATGAAAACTCATGCCATCCTTTGCTAGATCGTAATATTGCTTATATATAATCATCTATTAAAATCCTTGTGAATGGCAGCATGTTTATTATTTATATAATTGTAGATGAAAAACAGCTGTATTTATAACAGTATGTTCTCCTAGATAACAAAAATATGGTTCTGCTTTTCGTTAAGCTATGGTAAAAGGACATTTCTGTTGTTTTTATTTTAGTCATGGAGCAAACTTTTAAAATGTTAGTCATTTTAATAGCTAACGTGAGGTAAATGGTCTTAATGAGCAGCTTGTAAATAGGAAGATGTAAAAAAATGCCCTGTCTGACTCCAGCATTTAATCTTAAATGTTACTATGTTTGACACATGAAAATTATAGTTTTATGTTTTGTTCACAAATATTGTTACTTAGCAAAGACAAAGTATTTATTTTACCCAGAGAATTTTGGCTTTTGGTCTATTTTAATAAACATTTAAGCAATCTACAAGGTTTGCAAAGTGACGTTTTCCAAAATATTTCATAGGCTCATCTGTCTCAGTTATTTCTGTGCAAATTTAAAAATTAAAAAGCTGCTTTTTTTTTTTATTCTGTCCGCTGGAATACTTTTCTGTTAGTTTTAATCATTCCATGTCCCCAACTTTCCTGAACCCTTGCGCATTTTCCTTCATTATCAATGGCACTTTGGGGTGGAAGTTAATCTTCCCCTCTGTTCTTTTGTCTTAGTAAAGGCAGCATTTGTGCATAATGAAGTGCTTAAATTAAGTGTCCCTGGGATATAAGTGAAGATGGAGACAGTTATCTGTGTTAATAAGGTTGTGCCAACATCCTCTGAATACAAATCCAGGATGTGCAGGTCATAGCAGTTGATGATCTTCTAAAAAGTTTTGATATTCCAATAACACTGGTAGCTATCACTGCTCTTGAAGTTACTCCAGGAGGCTTTAAACTGCCCTTTTGCCCCTAGGACCTGAGGAACTTTACATGGCAGCAAACTGAGCTCTGGATTTCTTAAAGATGAGAATACAAAATTAAATAAAATTGTTGTTATTTTCAGGGTGCATCTGAAATAGTACAAGCGAAACAAGCCATGTACATGTGGCATTGGAATTATAGAAAATAACATTAGCTTTGAACTTCAAACCTATAAAAAAAAAAAAGTCTAGTTTTCTTCCCTGTCCTACAAAGAGACAGTAAAATAACAGTGACCTCAGATAAAACAGATGAGACAGTAACAGAAACTAAAAGTCCTAGCTATGTATGATTAAACTTAACATCACAAATATGACTTTGTATGGTATTTGCTTTTTCTTTCCTACCAGTAAGTAATTCACAATAAATTATGTATGCAGAGAGTTGTTCCTCTCAAGTTATTTATGGGTGGATTGCAAAACTCGGTAACATTCTAGGCTGAACTATAAAGTCTTTCATCATATTTCCTCTTTAAAAAAAAAATGTTGGAAGAGAAAACTAAGAGAGTATGTAATGCCGTGGGGTATATAATTGCATGTGGCAAGAAATGAAGGAGTTTCTGTGAAATGTTGAGCTCCCTCAGTTTCCAGGGCCTTAAGTAGGGTGGGAGCACCCCAGCTGCTTGCAGGGCAGGACTCATGTTCTCTGTTTATTTTAATTTGCACTCCCACTTAGTCTTCACTCAGGTACTGAGAGCTGCAGAGGTGCAAAGGTTGTCTACAGGACAGAACACATACCATGTTATGAACTAAAAACCAGAGCCCTTTGGTACCCAGTGACCGAAAGTACACCAAATTGCCATTCCTTCCTCCTAGCCCCACAGCCAGCCCCTCCTGCTGACAAGGGGGCTTTCACTTGATTTCCACTCCTCAGAAACTGGTGTTTCCTCATCTAGTCACCCATCTTATCTACTTTTAAAGTAATTTGAGCTACATTCTGGCCTTATTAACTGCAGTAAAATCCATTTTAATCACACACAAAAACAAAAGAAGAAACAATGAAAGTTATTTATTTCATTTTTAAGCTCTTCATATGGACCAGCACATAATAAAAGGATGTGTATACGGTAAATGCAGGGCTAAAAAAAGGGAGAGGCAAAGAGATAATATTTGATTAATGGTACCAGAGATGATTCCTATAAATACTTTACCCACTCACTACACCCACTGTGTGCTGATGTGACAGGCACCACAAACCACCATGACTGAGATTCCTCTCACTGCTGGAGTCTGAGGAGCTGCCCTTCCACGTGTGGTACATCAGCACAGAGCAGGCAAAAGATAATTACACAGCTTACACATATTCTTGTCTTTAAATACAGCCTCCTCCTCCCCCCCTCAAAAATAACAAAAACAAAAACAATCAATCAATCAAACAAACAAACAAAAACCACCCATCTTTACATTGCGCAATGCAATGTTGTGTTTTACAGGAAACGTCTGCTAGAATGAAAATACATAGCAGTACCAGTCATGAGTCCATCAGACAACTGTAGTGTTCAACAAATAAGACTGAAAAAACACTACTGTCAAATTTTGATAAAATATAGCTATGACACCATGATAATAAGATTAATTATTCTAATTTGAGTTTCATAGTAAAGCTATGTTTTTGAATTGGGATTGGTAGTGCCACAATCATTACAGATCAAAAAGCAAGCAAAACATGTCTCCCAACAGCAGTCCAAATGTTTTTATGTAGTTTTATACAAAGAATGAACAAATTGCTGGTTTATTCCAATCAACGAACAAAGACACCAACTAAAAGAGTAAGAGCTGATGCCACAAAACAACATATTAAAGGATATAAGTGGCTGGTCATTCTCTCATGTGTAATCATTCCTTTTTCCATTAATAGTGCATGTGAGTTAAGGAGCTTGTATATAGCTGTCATTGTTTAGAAATTTCATTATTTGGAAAACAAAACATTTTTAGGCACTTTAAAATCTGCAAGTATGTTAATTACCTCTCATATTTCAGACATAACTTGCTTGAAGAAGCTATACAAAATAAAGTGTAACACCATATAACACTGGTTTTGGCTGGCTATAAAATATTTATGACCCTATTAAGAAAAAAAAAAAAAAAAAAAGGTGTAACAGCAAAATCTAGGTTATATATTTTTATATACATGTACTCACACGTGTGGCTTTGTTTTCATTTTTTATGCTGTACAAAAGGTACTCTTTTTAAAAGATAATGTAGCCTTATAGTAAACTCAGCATAAAAAAAATACAAAAATGTGAACCCCCAGAAGAAAGTAATATAAAAATATTTAGTGAATTATTTCAGAGGAGAAATTATTATATGATTGATTCTATTGGCACATTTGGATTCATCTAACAAATCTATGCTGATAATCTGTCCAGCAATTCACAAGCAAAGCAAAGAAAATTGGAACTAGTTGCTGGGGATGTGGTGTCAGGCTTCTGAGAGTCATGTACAGGATTGTAAATTAAGCTGACCTGAATCTTATTTTATTGAAACACAATGAAACATATTAATCTGCTAAACTGATGAAGGACATGGACAGAAAGATGAATACCAAGTCAACTAAGTTTTTGGATTTGTTATAGACAAAGTAACATTCAAACCTCTTTTGTTTCCAAATGACGACAGGAGTTGGGGATGAGGAAAAGTACTTTTTTTTTTTTTTTTTTTTTTAAGATGAAGAAGAGTTGAGTCCATGCCCTCAAACTAGATCTCTAACCAGTAGCTCTGTGAAAGTGTTGAAAAGGCTTTGTTTTCATTTTCATGCTGTACAAAAACAAATGTTTCAAACATTTAAATTTTTTGGAAAGAAGAAACAAACAACAACACAGCAACACCAGCACAAAATAAACTTGTACTCTTCTGGCCTTTTTGCTTGTAAGCTTGTTAAAGGAACTCTCACCTCATTTATAATGCTTTATCACAGGTCCTGTGAACTGATTTTTATGCAAGTATTTCTTTCTTACATGCAAGTCTGGAACGTCTGAATCATTAGGACACAGTGGTCAAAGATGAAAAATTCTCAGACTCATATTCATGGAAGGAGAAAAGGAAGGTGTGAAGATGCAGAAGATGCTACCATGACCAACAGTAAATGTGTAATTTCACATGACTGAAGGGGAGATGAGTGTGTACACTGTTTTATTAGCTAAGTGCACACATAAAAAATTATATATATATATTTGAAGTCATGCAATTATCTTCAACAATCTTAAATAAATATCATGCTTGGGAATCATCTCATATACTAATCCTTTTTAATTACTGTGTCCCTTAAATGTCTGTCTGTTTATGGTGCCTAAACCCAAAGGCAGATTACAACCATGACTGGCAAATGGCAAGTTCCCTTAAAGTGCTCAGCTACTGGCAATGACCTACTTAGATGAAAACTAAATAAAGACTGAAAAAAAAATGTAGAAAAAGAGTATGGAATTCCCATCATGAAGGCCCCATGAACCACAAATAAGATAAACTGGCACAAGATTTTGTCCTAAGCCAAGATTTCCAACTATGAGACCATGAAAGGGTTAAAGGAATCATTTCCCAGGTACGTATGTATGTACATGGTCTACCACGCTCAAGCTTTCTGCTGTTCAGTGAAGAATG